TTAAAATAACAATTAAATTTAAATATTTATTTCAATTCAGGTTCAAATTTTAAATATATACCCAGATAAAGACAACATTTATAAAAAAAATAATAATTAATATTTCTTACATTGAGAAATTAAATTAAATAGCTATATAAAAAATTGTGCCATAAACAAAATAAATAAAAGCATAAATTATTGAAAATTTCCCTTTTAATCTCAATCTATAGGCAAAATAGGAAATCAACAATTTGGACACTATTTWATCAGAGTCAAATAAAAAGTACCATACCTAAATGCTTATATTTTATCAACCTTCTATCTAACCAAAGAATAACCTTAAGTTTGAAAATGTAATTTGCGGTTCAATTTAACCTTTTTTTGTGAGATTAAAGTTTACGAYAAGCTAGGATATTTACCTAAATTTTTTGTTATAACTCGAAAACTATTAATTTTACACATTTCATTGTCACTGAATCGCTTTCTACAATCTCAACCCTCTGAATAGCAGACAAAATTTTAGCAACCAAAAATGTCCAATACTTGGCGGTTTCAATATATTTGGATTAATTTTAAGCTACCTACCTGTATTACAAAACCTATACCAAAAAATTTAAACCATTGTCAAAAAGCTTAAAAATGTACAACTCATTGTTGAATCAATGTTAAAAACCGTTATTTAACCAGGGAAAATAATGAGGTGGTATCCTGTTGCCAGTTATACAGCTCTCATATCCGTCGACTTGTGTCCGGTGTGTAGCTGTTTTTACTATAAACCTATGGTTACCTGCACCTAAACCCAGTATTGTAGAGGCTGCTACCCCCCTACAAGTCCCTTTTAGTCGCCTCTTACGACAGGCAGGAACAACCGATGGCCTTTAAACTTAAAAATCACCTACTGTGCTTTAGTTTCCAACCATTGTTTTCCCCTAACCTAATTTTAGTAAGGCCATGTTGTGATTGACAAATTACCAACATAAATTTTAATTAACCCAAATAAGTTATGTTTTAGAGCGTTGTTTTATTATACTGATCATTGATGTGTGAAGATTTAATATAAATCAAGTGTTAGGAAGCTATATTGACACAAAAATTATTTTTCTCATAATTATCCAACAGCATCTCTGACCAATTTAGATACCTAAATATAGTCATAGCAGTACATTTGCTATGTACTARTTAGGTTCCAAATAAAAAGACTAGAAAGTACTTAGGATTAGATGGGTACACATTTACATAAATATCATACAATAATCTCTACCAATATTCCAGAATACCTTCGATCAAACAGTAGGGAATTTGGAAGGGGTCTGAGGGTACCTATCCCTCCACAACTAACATTAAAATAATAATTGTCAGTGTTGAAAAATCTGTCTTAGCTACCTATGTCTTTAATTATTTTATTTTTTTAAACATAAACCTTAATTAGATAATATAGTATATACAATTTTTYATCCCCTTCTCCCCCAAGAAAATTTATGAAAATCCGCCATTGCATTCACATAGCAAAAATAAGTAACTGCATAAGACGAATTAATTGATATTACGACAAATATATATATATCATTACACCAAAAGTACAAAGGTTAAGTTACTATACCCTGCAATATACCCTTGCAATAGTTATTACCCTGCAATATTTAAGAGAACCAAAATATACCTACGTCCGCAGAGACAATGACCGATTTAAACTCACCCAACAATAACAGTTTCACTTCTCTCGCCGCTTTCTCRCCGTCGGCTCGGAGCGACTTGTCGATTTTTTTCGATCGCTCCACCGCCTCCTTCTCGCCCGAACTTATCGTGCAACCCATCGTAGACGAAAAACGAACGTCACGAAAACAATATTTCAAAAACCGCTCCAACCGAATCAACTAGGTAAACAATAAGTGCGTCGGACGCGTAGGTACGCACAGCAACGGGTGGGTCGGATGTAAGGCAATCGGACTAAACTAAAAAATATGTCGTTCGTCGGTTGAGGAATTCATGAAAACGATAAACATAGAATAGAAAAAACACGAGCAAACGAGGACGACGTGTGAAAAAAAAACGAAATACTTTACGATCCACCGAAAAAGATATCACACATTCCTTGATTACTGATTACGGTTTGTAACAGTCGCCCGCCGTGAATCACGATGTAAACAGTCGTTATCGTAGCGCGTTTTCGGCCGATTCGTCATTGACCACGGTTACTCCAACGTCACCGTATTCCCTGGTTATTATTATTATTATTGTTWTCCGGTCTAAATAACCATTTAATAATTACATAATATTTGAATATATGTCATATGAATATATAATATTACAATAATAATATCGTCGTGGGGCTGTCGCGTGGGGCAATGGTCGAGTGGTCGACTACTGCATAAA